TATCGATTTTGTGATCAAATTATGTTATGATCCAAGTAGAAAGCAAATGGGTATTAACGAGTTTTTAGTATCTAATTAGATAAACAAAGTTTGTCCCCCTCCAGATTGAAAACACCCCAATTCCAAGAGTTTTCGTAAATAAAATAGTTGTAGGTTACGATGAGAAGTTTCAGGGGGATGTTAATAATTCGATAAAAATGGGTATGTACCACGGACTACAAATAGGGGGTCAAAATACAAAACATTATAAAGGTCAAAATATAGTAAAATGAGATAATGGAGTGATTTTATTTATTTTTTTGCACATAGAGTGTGAATGAGCTAATCACATGACAATTACTATTGTCCTTAGATGTGAAAGATTATAATATTTCTAAATAAAGAATTGGAAACAAATATATATATATATAGCTCACAAATATATACGTACGTCATTCAATCCATTAACAATAGTGAAATAAATGTACAATTGTTGGTGGTCCATAAGATATTAAACCGTTTCTAAGCATTGAAAACTGGTAAGAAGAATATAAATATAAAATGAAGAGTTCATTCACCATCATTAATTAAAACAAACCTATATTTCCTCCTGAATGTAATGAAATTCAAGCATAAACACTTTCCTCGTTTAGCATTAAATAAACAAACAGATGTACCGAAACAGCCTTCACTAAACAGTTCCTAAATGAGCACTGGGACCAGGAAATCAATAATATGCTAGTTTAAAATAAATTATCTTCCTTGTCTATAGTCGAATAGTTTTTCCTCAATCACAGGAAGCCATACTATTTATCATGAGAACAACTATCATGAATTAAACAACTTATACCTAGAAAACTTGAAACGAAACTGACAATACCTAATTTTCGATTGACTTAATTGTGACCGCCTTAAACACTCCTAAGCAAAAATTATTGTTTTGGGAATTATTGGTTATGGTCAAATATTAAATACACACATTTTTACCATAATATATCAAATTATCTAAGCTCCACATCTGTCTCTGGCCATGAAATTGTAAAAATAATTAAATTGGCGAGTTTTCACTAGTGCTGACCGAAATCGCTATTGATTTCTTTGCGGCTTTATCACTTTGGAAGACCAATACGGCGTAATTGTTGCAAGACCAATATTGATAAAAAAGAAAAGAAAAACATTTTTGTGAATAATAATTAAGGCAAAAATAATTACTAATACAATTTTAGTAAAGAATTGGTAGAACCAATATACTTTTCATAATTGGTAAATGGTTGACTGTCGTGGATAATGAAGAGAAGAATAGTTGGGGTGGTCAGTCAAAAAATAAGGCAAAAATAAATGATAATATTTATTTTTACATATGCCGACGTTTCGACCTGAAGTTCAGGCCTTCTTTTTTGACTGACCACCCCAACTATTCTTATCTTCAATATACTTGTTCATATGACTTTTTTCTTAAATTCTTAAATTTCTCTCGGGGGAAAAATAACAGTAATGTCTCTATAGTATATAGTGATAACATTTTTTAAAAGATTAAGTTAATTTTATTAATTTGGTTTGGCCCTACTATGAATATGTCAATAAAATATCTAAATATACCTATTCTGTAACGTTTCTCTAAGATTTAAAGAAACGTATTTAATAAATAGCAATAAGCTAATAGGTAATTGCAAGACTCATGCATTTGGATCTAACAGACACATTGACCATTTTGGGGGACTTGGTTATTTGGACTCATGGGACTTCATAACGTGTATTTTCGTTGAAAACTCAGATTATAAATTGTTCACTATTTCGATACTAACCCTTACTATATATTACATATATAGATAAGTGAAAGTAAAAAGGAAGAAAAAAAATTGTTTGTTATTTATTATATTTTTATATTTATTGTTTTGTTATTATTTAATTTCTTTATATTTTTTGTAAATATAGTTTGAATGAATATAGTCACTATTACCATTGTCCTTGATTGAGACAGCATGTAATGTTATCCAATAAAACAGTTTTAGGTTATTTTATTTATGTCTAAATTTTACGCATAGCAATTTTTTTTTTATTTAATAGTACCTACATTACTTTCAGCAGTTTTAATACCTATCTCTAACTTCCCTTACGTTCGATTGCCAAATCGAATGAGCAGTTTTTGAGATGCAGGCATCAATATGTTTCCGGATATACACTAATTTACAAAGTGGATCATTCAGAATAAGTTGAAAAACACTTAATTCTTATTTAATTATTCAAACGTTTAAAACATAATTTACTGTTACATGTTGAGAAGTAAGAAATCAACAAAAATTACAAAAAGAGCACTGTTTACGTTGGTTTTTGGGGTAAATTTAAAATTTTGAAAAACTTTAATTTTGTTGGTTTGGGGCCTTGTTGGTCCACCTCAAGTATTAATTACTTCCTGACGACGATGAAACGTACTTCTTATCAGCATTTTGATGCTATTTTGAGGGATCGTCTTCCATTCCTTTAACAGTGCTCTAGTTCATCCAGAGTTTGTGGAAGGTAATTCCGTCCTGAAATCCATCTTTGAACTTGAGTCCATAAATCTTCAATGAGATTTAGGTCTGGAAGCCCAGCAGGTTAATCCATGCGGCAAAGTTCTTGTTTTTGAAAGAATACATTTATGAGTACATCTATGAGGTAACGAAAAAACGAATTCTGATCCAATTGCTTCAGTCATAGGTTGTGCAATTAGTGCTAAGACTCTGTTCAAGTAACGCTTAGCACTCGTAGTCTCATTTCGTAATCCCACAATTTCTGTTCGAAAGCCCGAGAATTTACCACTCCACATTATAAATGAGCCTCCTCCAAACGGGTAAACAGGCAAGACAAGGGAAGGATTGTATCACTTACCAGACCTTCTGGTAACTCTTGTTGGGTTTGAATCGTAGTGTAGTACGAATTGAGACTCATCTATGAATATTCAACCAGGTACAATCAGTCCATGAAACATAAATCCAAGCGAATGGAAGTCTTGAACTTTATCATGTTGGGCGAGTCCTGGAAAGTGCGAAGGTCTTCGGCGTTGCAATCCATGTTCTATCATCCCTCTTCTAACTGTGTGAAAGATAATTTGCACTACCGTGGTACGTCTTTATGTGCAACTCACCACAATTAGTTGTAAGCTCAACTGTTGTAAGACGTCGTGCAGACATTCTTTAATATCAAGAACAACTTTTAAAAAGGGTCAGTAAAAAATAACGAAAGCGGTTAGCGAAAAAAAATAGGTTTACGAAAATAAAATTAATTCAAGCTTCAAACGAACTAAATTGATGAAATCACGTCTTTTGTTGACATTTGAGAGAGTTTATTACAAATTTGTTGGACCTTTGAGAGTGGAAACAATCAACAGGTGTGGAATTGGAACAATATTGATTCTTCAAAATTTAATAAATTGTTAATGCAATGATCCGCTTCATGAACAAATAATTATTTAAGAAGAAGTAGTTGATGAGATTAAAAAAAAAATGATACAGCATTATTTCTCCATCTTTCTTCAAACTTTAAACCAAACCGACGTTCCTAAAATACTAGAGGAGTGTTAGGGAAAAAACGTTTACCCCTGCATAAGCGAAAATATTGTAAGGAATTTGATGAAAACGACATAGATATTATTCAGGTACCAACCCTCACAATCTCTCAAGAAATCAGATTAAAGTAGCATGGGATTGATTCTAATCTAAATCTAAATGATCTAAAACATAAAACCTGAGTGATATTTTTTTTATTCTGACTGCAATTTTTATTTAATTCTCCCACCCAAATACAAAACTTCCTACCTTCGGTAGCCAGGAAGTAAACTATTTTTTTAAAATCTAAAGATACAGTTGTTTGAATATTTTAAGCGTAGATCAACTTATTAATCACGATATATATTTATATTAGGTAAACGAATTCTTTTTAAATACAGTAGTACAATTTCCAAATTCAAGTTTAGTTTTTATGTTGCTCATGGAAACTTAAGACCACTAAAGAATCCAAAGAAGGAGGGCATAAGAACACCTCACTCCTTAAAATTATGTTCTATTCAATCTGAAAAGAATATTTTTAAAAAATGTAATAAAAACACACAAAGAAATGAAATATTTTGATTTATTTGTCCTAACACAAATATATATGTTATTCACGAAAAGTATTTTTAAACCTATGTGAAATTTCAGTGTAATTTTTAACAGTTTTATTTTTATATTGATCCCATTGAGCATTATTAGTATAATTAACTATCAAGCAAAGAAAAGCTTTAAAATATAAAAAAGAACGAAACATAAAATTTTAATTCTGTTTGCACCGTTTTTAGGAACAGATGTTTCCTATTGGGGATAGGTCTAAGGCACCCCTGTTGCAGTTAGCATGAATATCATTTTCAAAAATCAGAGCAATTTCTCAGGAAAATGATCGTGAAATATAACTTAATTGAGGTATATAAATAAAAATTAAGTAACAGCTTTACTCTCCCAACAATTTTTTCTTTATTTTATGACGTTTCGGGACACTCTACTATCCCATCTTCAGACAATATCTTATCCTTTTATCGTCTTATTTTTTTAAGAAGATTTGTCATAATTATTTTATATTATATTGTCATAATTCATCCCTTAATTGTATTGTGGACTCCTCAGTGTTGACTAGGCTCTTCCTAGAGGATTCCAGAATATAATTAAGGGACGAATTATGTAAATATAATATAAACAAATTATGACAAATCGTTTTAAAAAAATATGATGATAAAGGGATAAGATATTGCTGAAGATGGGGTAGTAGAGTGTCCCGAAACGTCATAAAATAAAGAAAAAATTGTTGGGAGAGTATTGTTACTTAATTTTTATTTATATACCTCAAATTAAAATCATCTCCCTTAGGACTTATGAAAAAATAAATTAACTGTTACCCTAATGCATCGCAGTTTAATGAAACCAGAAGATAAAAGAAAAAACTGAAAAGATATCTTCCAGGAGGTTGATAATATTTTCAGAAGTACATCGAGTGGTTAATTTTTATTCTTAAAATCATATATTGGAAATTATGGTGTAGTGCAGAAGGCGTTCTCTAAAATAGTCCTTAAATGGAGCAAGTGCTGATAAAGTACAATGGGAACTTACCGCTCTTATCTGCGTCGCCTCGTTTATATTGGTCTCGAACTCCCAGTGGGCCGTAACGTCGTTGTTACAGAACCGGGACAGCTCATCATTGGCCTGTTCCAGGAGGAAGGTGACCCTCCCTTGAGGAATGTAATCGGTTCGGACGTCCACCGGGGTGCCATCTCTGTCCCTCTGGGGCAAGAGAGGATCGATAGGCTGGGTAGGGTACCTCAGCGGATCGAAGTACTTGGGGTCTTGAGTTTCGAGGTACTTGTCGAGGTAGAGATCCTCGATCCTGGGGGCCGTCGGGGCAGGGCCCCCGTCCGGAGGCAGCCTCTGGACGTAGGTCCTGTCGAGGTAGCGCCTCTCGTCCTGGCAGTGGGCGAGGGCCACCAGGAACACCTGCAGCAGGAGCTCCTTCATGACCGAGCGGTTGTGGAGGCGCATAGGAAATGAGGCGATAAACCGGCGATAACGGAAGGTAGAGGAGGGGAGCTTGCACAATTACCTGCCTTCTAATGAATGGCCCTCGTATCTCCCACGGCACACGTCTGTATTATTTCGAAGGAAAATCAACAAATGCTAGTTATAAACCAATATTATAACTTATAACCAACAATCGTTAAATAAACAAAGCCGAAAAAGTTATTTAAGTGATTTTCAGAATAACATGTCGATCTTTATGGATTGCGTGGGTAGAATCTTTTTTTTTTTTAGAATCCGTGGATCTTTAAAAATTAAATTAAATTAAGATCCATAATTAAATTAACACAAGATATCTGCTAACTATTATTTTTAAAAATATTTATTATACGTATCTGTTATCATATACCTTTCCGAAAAAATTACATCAGTGGATCCAGAGGGGAAACGCGGGTAGCGCGTGCCTCCTGTGGAAGGGAAGAAAAAATTTATCTATTTAATAAATAGAAAAATAAACTTTTGTTATTTTTATTTTAATTGAAAAGTTAATTAAATTAAACAATTAATTGTTATTTATACTTTGTACTCAAAAACTACGATTAATTTAAAACATCTGAATATTAACACAAAACATTCTTCATTTATAGACGAAATATTTGAATATTGTAACTGAAATTAGTTGCTAGAGTGCTTTGATACCTTACAAACTATTTTTAATTAAATTTGCAGGGAAAATGAGCAAAAATACCGTGTTTTAGGTTCATACACGTCAATTATCCAGTAAAGAGATTGCGACCACCATTTTATTGCAAAATACTTGACGAAACAAAAATGAAACTAAAATTCATTTATCTTTTCATATATATATATATATTTTATATATATATATCTATATATATATATATATATATATATATATATATATATATATATATATATTATATATATATTTGTGTGTGAGTGTCTGGGTCTGTGTGTTTATATACTTTTGGTATATGGAATTGACTTGTTTTGCTGATGTGCCTCTCTCAAAAAATTCCTGAATCCCTCCATTGATTATTGAAAGATTATTAGATTTTTTTTATTGTATAACTGCTAAGAAACAAAAATATATACAAAAATGACATTTAAATAATAATTTTCAAATTAAACCATAATCGATATTTTTCGAATGTATCGATTTCTATCTAAAATCAATCAATTAATTCGAAAGTGCATTTTTTTTTTCAAAGACGAACCTAAATATAAAAAAAAATGAGAAAATAGTTGTATTTCTAAAACCAGTATTTTTTTCAAGGAATGATGAACATTTTTTAAAAAATAATTTATCAAAACATTTTCTAACTTTATAATTCGGAAATAAATTAAAATTAAATTAATTTCTTCATTTCGTGACATGAGTGGGTTGAAATTTATTTGATAAACCACAGAATCAACCATACTGTTAATTGAACAGTCTTTGAACATTATATGTAGTATAATAATGATAGAAGACAACATTGTAAATATTGTCATACATGCATACTAGTAATCGCAGGAAACAGTAGAGATTAGCACGTTATAATAAATTAAACATAAGTATGTTGCGATATTATCAATATCGATAGATATCGATATTTTCCTTTCGATCGAAACAATCGATTCGATATTATCGTATTATCGAAATAAAAAAACCAATATCGGATTTCGATTTTTCTTTTTCATTCACATAAAAACTTGCATTAATTTAGTATTTAAAAACATAAAATGAGCGTATTAACGTAAATCAATATTTTTTAATATCTTCATATATTACAAAATGGAGTTACGATTCTATTCATGAAAACGGCTTATGTCGTCGGCTTATTGTCAAATGTCACTGATTATACAAGTACACTTTTGTTGAAACTTAATTTTAAGAACGTTTTTATGTATTGCGACCAAATTTATCGATGAAAAACAATGCAATAATAATAATAGCAGTTTATTTATTGTGGAACAAGTCCCATTAAAATAATACAAAAAGACATGAATGTGGGCTAAGGATCCTCAGGGGTACATAAAAATAATCAAAAAGTAAATAAATAGTCACAATACAAAAATTACTAGTTACTTTCTAACTCAAATTAAATAATAAAAAAAATTATTTAGAACGATCTAATAATTTATATGCATATTTAATTTAACATAAGTGTTCTAAAATGAGACAAATTTTATATATCAATTATCCATGTATATCAAGTAAAATTAAAACCAGCGCACAATTTTCTGGTTTTACAAATGGAAAATATATCGATGTTCTAAGTGATTTAAGGTTATGAAAAGTAACTTAATGACTTTTTTATTAATCTAACGACAATGTTGTTAGGTATTTCAACAATTTCATTTTGATATCAATATCCTTCGATACGGGCGATATCGATGTTTTTGATTCGATATTATACTAATAACGATATCAAATATCGATATCTATATCTATAAACGGTCAATATTATTGAGTAAATAGCATTGAAGCAATATAATTGAAGGCAATATATTGAAGGGGTACCTCAATAATATTGAGTCAATATTATATTAGTTAAGATCTGTCTTCCACTAAAGAAGGAGGTTTCCAAAGAGGTAATATTTCTATTTTGTGGAAATGAATAACAATTAATTTCCAATTACTTTAATTGCTTTGGCTTTAGCGAAATTTAACTTCGAAACAGCTAAATAGCATAAAATATTGCCATTTTGTAAAAAAAAAAAAAATAATAAGGGAAGTTCTTCCTTTACGTAATCCAAAAAAGTATCCTCCACCTTCACAAAAATATAGTAATTTTATCATTTAAAAAATCAGGAGGGAAATCCCTTTTCCTCAAAAGTAAAAAAAGTGCCACTCACCTATCCAACCATATTTCCATTTTTTCTTTTTAAAAATCGGAGGGAAGGGAGGATTAAACCTCCTCAAAAAAAAAATAATATAAGTAAAAAAATATCCCCCACATACTCATACATGTTGCCATTTCATCGTTTGAAAAAAAATCAGAGAGGAAGAGGAGTAGTCCCATAAAAAAAAAATAATAAAAGTAAAACAAAATATCATTCAATACCCAAACATTGTCATTTTATATTATAAAAAAAAATCGTGGAGTGTACTCTTCCTCTCTCCTCTCCCTCCCCCATACAAAAAAAATAAATAAAACAAATTATCACCCACTTACAGAAACATGTTGCCAAGAGAGGCACCGGAAATTTGGTATCGCCTAGAGCTTCCCAAGATCGGTATATATGGTTTAATAATATTGCTCAATATAGCCCTTACAATTGCAATTATACTTTTTTATTTTTTATGTATTTACTTAGAAATATAATAATCTGTCACTTATAACTGTCAATTATATTAACGCGGTTGTTTCAATAATATTGAAGGAGCTTCAATATTGTTTCAATAATATTGAAGGAGCTTCAATAAAATAAAATAAAATGATATCAACCAGTTTGATTGACCTCAATATAATTGATGCCAATGTAGCCCTCACACGGTAAATATATTGACGAAACTCGATTTTGATTGAATAATATTAACCGTGTAAGGAGCCCTTAAGGAATATCGGAACAGCCCTAATTTCATATGGTCACGACCTTTATAATCACACAACACAGCAATGACCATTCCAGTTTTTCACCTTAATAATAATCCTAAATAAATAAAACAATAATAATAATAATACACTTGTGGTGCGCGCATCACACGACTTTTGCTTACCACCACGTTTTAGCAGAAATAAGTATTTTCAGACAAAGAGGAAGTGAAAGAATAAATTATGGACTCTCTATTTATTTAAATTTCATTGTGGGTATTTAAATTTGTTTAATTATCGTTATATCTACAAATTTATAATTTTTATATCGGTGTAATCTATACAATTAAATATTAAATAATACCAACGACAGCATTTATGAAAACCGCTATATGCATATTTACATAATATTGTTGAAGTCCGTATGATATTAAGCTCATTTAATGTACGGAACCTTGTCATAATCTTTCGGGCGAACTCGGGAGAACTCGGGCGCTCTCGTATTCCATTAGTTCCTCCATTTCAACTATTATCCGTTACGCTTTCTTATTTCTCCTTTAGTTAAGTATCAAAATTCTTTTAAATATTATATTTAACTATTAATTTGAAATGGTAAATTATTTCAAATACAAAAAATTAAAGGTACTTTAGAAGAAGCTAATATTGAAAATTAGCCATTTAAGCTCTGTTAGAAAACATCAAAGAGAGTAAAATTTACATTATATTAAAAACTGCTAAATAATACGCTGATATACTGAGTTTAATCAAAATCGTTAGAGCCGTTTTTGAGAAATTCGTAAAAATGTGTCAAATCGATTATATAAAATGCCACTTACGGTAAGGCGATTTTGATTAAAAAGTTACTATAACATCCAAGGCATATGCAAACCTTAAATATGCAATTTCATTTTCGTACGACTTTTCATTTTTGAGCTGGACTAATCACATATATACTCATACACACACACACACAGACCATATTGCCGGACTTGGTTATTTGTACTCCAGACTTCAAGCCTGTATTTCGGTTGAAAACTCAGATTCAAAAAGTTTCACGATCGCAATGCTTACCCTTACTATGTATTACATATATGGGTAAGTGAAAGTAAAAAAAAAATTAATGAGCAATTGTGATGATAACTTACATATATAAGCAAGCACGAAACACAAACAGAAAGTCTTCCATAAAATCTAAATCATTAGAAAAGAGTAAATATTTAAGAGCAGAAGCCCAGCACTAAGGCATTACGTAAAATCGACCATGAAATTTTGGCTTTGTTATTAATCTGCTGAAAAAAAATGATCGAGATAGAAATTTTAAGAAAAAACTCTTGGAAGATTGCAAGTTTATCGCAAGTGGTTCTACAAGGTCACTCTATGAATCAGACAGACGTAAGACCCTGAAACTCCCTGTGAGGGACTGATTAATTAGTGTGGTAATAAAATTGATGAGTAAGGTATAACGGGGTATAAATCTTCTCC